AGGCCGCCGGAGAGCGCTCGAGCGGCGGCTCCCTCGACGGCGTCGCCTTTCTGCTCCGCTCCGACTTCCTCGCTGACCCCGCCGCCACCTACGCGGTGGCCGACGGCATCGCCGGCGATGACGGGGCGGAGGTCGCCCCGGAGCTCCGTGCCTTCCTGCGGAACAACTGGTCGGAGGCGGCTTTTGTGGAGGGGGTCCAGGCCGGGGCCTGCCACTTTGTCAACGTGGCACGGGTGCTGAGGAGGGGGGAGTCACCGATACGGTTGGGGGACTTGCCGGGGCAGCTACAGGTAGCGGTGGCCTACCTGCCGCTGTACAGGGAGTGCTCGGCGGCCGGTGGGAGGCTGCTGTCCCAGAGGCAGAGGGGGGAGCTGGTGGAGGCTGCCAGGAGGCTCGGTGGGGTGGTGGCAGACGGGCCGGGCCAGGCACGGGAGCTGCTGGCGGTGCTGGAGCATCACTTGCCTCGGTTTCTTGTCGATGGAGGTAAGGGTGGATTGAACGCTGGAAATATTATATCATGATCGGTCGTTCGGTGGTGGTGTTTTTCGTGTGGCCCTTCGTTTTCGCGTTTTTATGTTACAGAAAAATAACGAAGATATTGTTGGAGGAGGTTTTAGGTGGCTATTGTGGTAGGTTTCTTTTTCTTTTTTCTCTTTTTTTTTTGGTGTTTTGTTTTGGTAGCTTGATATTGTGAACGCACCCGTATGGATGTATGTGTTGGTTGATCTTCTTCTTCTTCTGTCTTTGTCTTCGTCTTCGTCTTGTTCTTCTTAACTTAAGGGATTGTGTTGAAATGGTTGGGTGTGTGAAGGGGAAGTATGTTTTACAAGATTTGAGTCTGATATGGCCTTGCATGATATATGATGCATTGCCCCCTGCTTCTTGTAATGATGCATAAGCAGATGAGACATATGCTGCAACTTATGAAAAGTTCTGGAAATACACCATACTTGGTTTTTATAATTTAGCTAATTTATTGGGATTGTTTTGGCTTTTGAGAAAATTCCTAACCACATAGTGTTCAAGATTTTTAGCCGTTGGATCAACACAAACTCGTATGGATGTGTGATCTAACAATGAGAAAACCGAGTGCGTATCAACACACCGGTAGGATCGAAATTTCCTGTTCCTCGATGCTGGCTATTGTGGAAGTCCAATATTTTTCATGCCAATCTTTATGAAGTGGAAGTAGGGTTGTAAACAAATCAAACATTTTTTATTCGATTCGTGATTCGAATTCGATATTCGTGATTCGAATTCGAAATATTCGAATTCGAATTCGAATGATGTTTTAGATTCGAAATTATAACGAATTCGAATCCGAATGTGTAGATATTCGATTCGAAATTCGAATATTCGATTCGTTAACAATAATTATATAAATTTTACAAATTATATATAATATACATTTTGTTTATAATATATGTATATATATATATATTGTTATATTCCTAATATTTTTATGACATAAAAATTAAAAACATCATAAATTAACAAATTTTTCTAAAAATATATGAAAAATAAAATTTATTTTTGTAATTATAATATTTTTATACAAATTATATATAATATACATTTTGTTTATAATATATGTGTATATTCTTAATATTTTTATGACATAAAAATAAAAACATCATAAATTAACAAAATTTTCTAAAAATATATGAAAAATAAAATTTATTTTTGTAATTATAATATTTTTTAATTATAATATTTTTTGAAAACGAATTTCGAATCGAATCGAATATGTTCGAATATTCTAAACGAATCGAATACGAATCAAAAAATGAATTCGTTATCGAATCGAATCACGAATCGAATCTTCGAATATTTTAAACGAATCGAATCGAATCTTTGAGTATTCACTTTGATTCGATTCGTTTACAACCCTAATTGGAAGTTTGAGGATTGGGTCGGGGCGCGCTTGTTTATCAAATAATTCGTTCAAAATGAGTTTTTTTGGTTAACCAGAGTTGATTTTGAAAAATATGGTATGATTAGTAGTTAGTAGAATATTAAGAATGTATTAAAATAATTTTTACAATAAAATAATTAAATTGATTGATATATAAGTAGGAGATAAATAATCGTAAATGATTGAAAATGATCGGTGGTTAAAATTATCTGAGTGGATGAATAGCGAATTAAAGTTAATGTGATGTGTAGGAATGATTGGTTTGTATTGTTTAATTATATGAATAATATGTAAAATAGTGAGGTTGAGTTAAATTTTGAGTATGAATTAAATGCGAGTAATTTAATTTGTAAACCAGCAGCAATTTTGTCATGTCAAATTCACTATAAATTGATTTGTTTTGGTTGCAATAATGGAATTTAATGATAGTATTGCTATATAGTAATAATGAATATACTCTCATATGGTCCTAAGCTCAGACACATTAAAGGAACAATCCTGAAATAAGTTGAAACTGTGCAGGACATATCATAACCAACAATCCGTATCTTATTCAGCTCTTCATTCAACAATCACAAGTAAACATTTTTTTTTTTTTTTTTCCTTCAGTAATCTGTTTGCAAATTCAACTTATTAGGCAACCCCTTGTGTGCTGATGTAAGTGTGTGGAACTGCCATTTTTGTCCCTGTTAGAAAAAGTATGAGCCAAGACCGTCAGATTCGTGAACAAACTGTCGCTACTCGGATTAATCACGCGTTTGACATGTTCGAACGACGACAAAAGGAATGACATGAAGTGCTGGTATAAAAGCGAATAAAACCAATTAATTACCATGCACAAGTAACTCACGAGCAACTCGTCTAGGAAATCACCCAACACAAGCACGATCATTCACTAAAGTTCATGACATATATAACAATCACTTAATGGCTAGAAGCCGCAGTTTACATATCACATACCAAACTTAAACGATCCAGACAATCTTATTCGTTCAGAGGAGATAGTCTTTAATTAACACACGTCTCATTCGGTCTAACAAAGTAAAAATGACATACACATGGGCTGCTTCACCAACGTCCGGTAAATTTAGAGTTGGACCTTTGTAGGTTTGTAGTCAACCACAATGACTTTCTCGAATTGAGGCAGTAATCTGTTTGCAAATTCAACATGATCCGGATGAGCAACATATTCGGCAACCCCTTCAGTGCTCTCAAAGGTTGACTCAAAGACGTGTGTGAAACCCTGATGCAAGTTTTCGGCACTGACATCTTTGCCCCTGTTGGGAAAAAGCACCAGTCAAGACACGCAGTCAGCTTTGTATAGAATCTGTGAAATGAAGTCGAATATTATCGTTGTTATTGTCGTCAGAAGAACTTGTGTTAGAACCATCCAATCCACACAAGCACACCCTGATAAACAATTCCAAATATCCGCAGATTAAACCAACGGATGTAGCAAAAACTTCCATTTTTCATTTCCAGTTTCCCGAGAACAAATACAAATGTAAGTCAATTCACTACTCTCGTACAATAAAGCTTCAAAGATGGGCATTTACAGGCATGCCCTGATTAACAAAAAGTCGAATATGATAGTTGATGCCATAAAGAACGGGCCTAGCCCGCTCCATCTCATTCTAGGGAAGCCTGTGATGGACCAACCGGGCGTGCCCAATTGACATACTATTGTTGACTGAGGTAGTTTTACAGGTAACTCGGAGAGGAAACGCCATCAAATATTTCCCAAGAAACTTAAACAAGCTACACTTTTTAATCCAGGTTACAACAATATTGTTAATTTATCAACGGTAGAACATTTTGCTCTCTCATACATCCTAACCATACAATCATCTACAAAAACACAAGCGTATGATGTTCATGAAGTTCAACTTGTATTTTACCACGAAAAATGTAGTCCAAAAAACACATATTATCTTACCTATTTATCAATATCATTCAACACTAAAAATACTATAATTTGCGTAGTCCATAACACACATATAGTATTTTACATATTTATCGATATAATTCGAAACCTCTAACCACTAGAGGGACCTCAAAATTAGTATTAGCAAATGTAAAGTAGGTCTTCAACTGAGAAAAAACTAGGAAAATATCCATTGATAGCTCTCAAGAACACAAATGATCTTACAATAAACGAATCCATAAAAAATGTTACACTTGCAGCTACCTACATTTTAATCGACATAATCATACATGATACTGCAATTGAAGGAAATAAAAAACATAGCACACACACACACACACACACACATACACACACACACACACACACACACACAC